GCCTCTCTCTGCCCCCTTGTGTGTTCCACCCCCGGCCCGCCTCTCTCTGCCCCCTTGTGTGTTCCACCCCGCCCCCGGCCTGCCTCTCTGCCCCCTTGTTTGTTCTCAGCTTGCGTGTTCCACCCCCCCGCCCCGCCCAAACTCCTCACATTCCACGCTCCAGTATTGCTCAGGGGTGCTGAGTGCCCACTATTTCTTGGGGGTGCTTGAGCCCCAGGGCACTCTTGGAGCCAGCACCTGGAGTCCCCTTCTGTCACAGGGCTGCAGTCGGAGACAAAGCCATGCAAATGCACTCGGCAGTCACCCGGTGAGTCTGCTACTCTCAGCTGCACTGGACACACACGCAGCACAATGGGGTGTGGAAAGCACCAGGGCTCTAGCCCCACACGACGGTTTGCTCAGTCACACACCAGCTTTGGGTACACGCCACGAGGCCAGTCTGGGCACAATGCAGCCCCTCCCTCCAGCACCCAGGCTCTGGCTGGGGCAGGTGCCAATGGATGACTGGAGAGCAGATCTGATTGACTTCCCAAGTAGCTGTCACAGGGCCTAAGAGGGAGGCGACCTCAAGAAATGAGCTCACTTGGCAAGGCCCTGGCTCAGGAAAGACTTGCCATGGACAAAGTGCCCCACACGCACACAGCTGCCCAAACAGGTAAAGAGCCATTTGCAATGATCAAGCCAGGCCTCTAGCTACACCCACTGGCCCTGCTCGGGCGTCACTCAACTACAGAGCAACCGAGTGCATGCCCTGGGCCACACATGTCAACATGGAGCCCCCATTCCATCCTGCCCCTTGACCAATCCTAGGAGACGGCTACAGGCAGGGGCACTGAAACCCATTCCCCATGCTCACCCAGTGCTCCCCAAGCTCTCACTAGCTCCCTGGCAATCCCCACTTACCAATAAGATGCTCTCCCAAGACATCCAGCGAATAGGAAGCACGGCCCGCCCCTGGATTCGGTAGTAGTCTCCACTGTACAGGTTTCTGCTCATGCCGAAATCCGCAATCTTGATGGTGAAGTTCTTACCCACCAAGCAGTTGCGTGTGGCCAGGTCCCGGTGCACAAAATTCAGAGAGGACAGGTACTTCATGCCGGAGGCGATCTGAGTGGCCATGAACTTCAGGTCCGAGTAGCTGCAGCGACAGGAAGGTCAAAGGAGGGGTGAGGTTGAGGAGCAGGCCTTGAGCCAGCTGGGAGCCATGTCACCTAACCCGGAGCAGCTCCCCACAGCCTGCCCTTGGAAATGCGAACCCGGCACACCAACAGCACGAGTGGCTCCCATGGTGGATGAATCACAGAGCAGGCTGGAGCGGCCAGTCAGGGGAGGAGTGTCCCTCCAGTAGGGCACAGAAGAATGAGCCTAGCACGGAGGGCAGAGCAGCCTGGACAGATTCCTACTCCTGCCGTCCATGCCCCAGCTACTCAGAGGTTCGGTACATCCCCACAACAGGGCAGCACCGCAAGCTGGAGCCCAACACATGACAATGAAATGGGCATTTTCTCCTGCTGGTGCTCTCAG